CATTCCTGTGGTCTTTCTGTTGTTTTTCCATTCGATTGCAAACATTACAAAGAGGCAGTCTTTTGATTGGTATCACTTTCAGGGTTTCCTTTTCACTCAAAATCTTTGTCACTGTTAGTTATCTCCACAAAGAGATGGAGTAACTTGGCAAATTAGATTTATAATGCTGATTGATCAGTTACCACTGGATACCAGTTGTGCTTTCCATGAATGCCCTATACCAAGAAAAATTAACTGGCGTTTTGCATACATGCCTAAAGACACTCAGCACTTGCACAGCTTGCAATCTGGGGCTCAGAACAAGTCTAAGAAAGAAAACACATTATTTCTTCAGTATCATGAATATAATGAAATAATGAACAGGGATGAATGGTGCTTCAGAGAAGAATACAGATTCACACATACGCTGTCACAGCCAGGTGCAAAATAAAGCACTCATAATGTGATGAAAACTTGCATGGTTTGAAATCAAGTTGAAATCATTCATTTTCCTCGGGAAGAATGCTCCTACCTAGCCCTAATCTGTATTTATTTTCTTTTGTTAGTAGTTTTACATTCTTAGTTCCAAACATGGTGTTAAGGTTGTAGCGGACAGCAGCGTTGTGTAGTCAGCCCAGTCTCGAGTGAGCCAAAGGTTCCTATTTTTTCTTGGAGCTCAGATCCAGCAGGAGTTTACTTGGGCAAGAGGATGGGCTGAGCACTGCTCTGTAAACTCGCATGGTTTATAGTGGAACATCATGGCCACTCCTTACATGACCGCAGGAGCCAGCCAGTGGCTCAGCCACTGTGACTGCGTGTCCTAGTATGGGTCATTGAGGTTTTTCTCATGCATTATGTCATCCCTGCCTTCTCCACAGGCGTGGTGGTGAGCATAACGGGACTGCTGACAGCCCCACACCATGTGTCCGATGACCCTCCATTTCTCCTGCAAAGATTTCTTGAAACTGTTATGTTGCATGCCAAGTTTTGGAGGGCACGTGTCCCATCCTTGCTAAGGATGGTGTTCATTAAACTTGGTCTCTAGTAGATTTCTCCAAACCTGTAGGTTTAGGATACGCCTTCCAGCATGAAATCCTGGGTCTAGTGAACTTTCTGGTAAAGCTCTCACCAGTTTCCAAGGGCCCAGAACTTCAGCCCTGCAATTTTATTTCCGTAAATAGGGACCTTGTAACATGGAATTTGTCACTAAAATAGTCAGTGTAAAATACTGTTTGATTAACTCCCACCCCACACACATATGTACCTGTATCCAAAAGGCTTGTTGTGTATTTGTTTGTATTTGCTGACCAGGTTTTATCAGAATGGTTATCTTTCTCTAATTTCACTTCTTGTAGTTTCTCGGAGTCACAGAACTATCTGCCTATTGTGAAGGCTACTTTCTAAAAAATATGATGGTCCTCATTGAAAACGAAGCTTTCAAACAGCTGTTGTATGACAAGAATGGAGAAACGTCTGGTCAGAATGTACTACAGGACTTACAGAGGACGTTGGCCACAAGGATTCAGTCAATTCATTTGTCTTCTTCAAAGGGCTCCATTGTATAAAGCTGAGGAAGACGGTAACACTCTAATAAAGACCCTGCAAGTTAAGTCTCCTGTTGCAGTTGCTTAAACGAATACGAAAAAATTTCTGCTTCGCACCCAAATAGTTCTGTGTTGGCCAAAGGAGCTGCGTGGAGGCTGAGGCCTCGTTTGGATGAGGGAATACAGAATACATGGCTCCTCCATGTTTTTGAGGAACAGGGATACAACAGTATCCAGTGAACCGCTGTTGTATTCAAACGCTGAACACAAAAGTGTGGTCCTGGAGCTAGATGCCAACACAAGCCAGAACCCACATCAGTGAACAGCAGAAGCCCCTGCCTGAGCAGTGATGCCATGGAACACCTGAATTAGTCATTTAAGGCTGTTTTGTTCCACAGAGTTACGCATTTAAGAACTACATCTATCCTGGAGTCCATTATCTTCTGCATTTAAGAAATGTAAGAACTGTTAGTTACCATTGAGCAAAGATCAGCTGTGTCAGAGAGTGGGTAAGACTGTTATAAATGAGGAAATATACTGGCAGATTTTTAGGGGTGGGAACTTTTTAAATTGTTCATAAAAAATAAAGGGGTGGCCTTGTAGTTTAAAAACTATTTCTTAAGCTTAAAATTTCATTTCGACAGAGCTGTGTTTGAGAATCTATGTAACGTTTTGTTTTTTAAATGGTAAAATGTACATTGTGTAAACATACATATGATCAAGTTTTGCTTGTATTCTTTCCTAAGGTGGTATAATCTTGCCTCACCAGGCTATGGTTACACCAAAGAGGTACATTACCAAGACTATCTCTAATACAGTAGTTGGGCTACTCGTGATTTGGAGTTAAAAACAATGACAAACTCAACATGCATTTGCATGGTAACTGTACCTGTGAAATGTTATGTTTGTGCTTCGTTTTGCCAAGACAAATGCAATGTTACTTCTTGTCGAACTCCATTTGTGAAATTAGCATATTTTTTTATTCAGTGCAATTGGTTGTGAAATGATACCCCCAGAGACCCTTCCCGAAATGCTGATTTCTGTTTGTTACAGTGAAGGGATAATAACAGATCTTTATTCTAGTAATGTGTCAATACTTTGCTACTGGCCAGAGATTGTGTCTGAGTTAGACTTTTTTTTAAATTATAATTAAATATGTACTATAGAATGGTTTCTCACTGTATCCTGAGAATGTATAAGTTATCTACAATGCGGGGCTTGGATGGCAGGGCGGGGGGAATGGGGGAAATTTAATGTCAGGGCTCCATTTATTTTGCAGCTTATAGTTAGCAAGACAAATCTATTAAGTGCCATCACATTCCTGATGCTCTGTCTTTGAACAATACCTATCGTGAATGGATTGATATAAAATGTAGAGAAGACCACAATAAGAAGCAGGCAAAGGCGTTGCCTTTACCATGGCAAAATGGCATGAATATATTTATTTTCTAGCATGCCGTTCAGAAACTGTGCCCAGTTCATAGACTTTTTAGGCATTTTAATTTGGCAGTGCATGTTAACTTCCTGTTCTTTCATTGAAGTATCTGCGTCGGGTGCTCTGCCACGTGTATAGCTTTTGAAATGCTCAGAGAACAGTTTCAGCTTTAGTTATCAAGACGGTAGGAAGCTGTTTTACGACTCTGAGGTGCAAACCCTCCTGTGTGCTTGGTCTTTTAAAACCGATACAGTAACTGCAACAAATTACAAAAATGTCTAAACTGCCACTAATGTCGCAGGGACACAGCATGTCAGTCAATTGAGCAGTTTTTGGGGGGATAGTAATGTCCATACAAGATGATGTCCAGAACATGTAGATAATGGCAACTTTTCTGTGAATGCTGCGATACTGGAGAAGCAAGAACGTGGTTGATGCAACTGCGACACGCAGGGGTGCTTATTATAGTTTGAAGTGCTTTCTCGACCATGAAAGCCCATCCTTCCATACCGATAATAACTAGAGGACAGCAGCAGACCTCACCCTGCCGCTTCAAATTTTAAAATAGCAAAGTTTTTCAGATCATAACCACAGTGCTAAAATTCTTCCCTTGGGTACCTGCGTAATGCCCAACGTAGTCATCAGGAGTTGCGTATGCATATATCCATGGGCAGAATATCTTTCTCTGGGAAAAAAAAGTGCACAGGTGTATGTATACATGTGGATAGGCAGTCTGGTGTCTAATGTGATAACGATACCCACAACTGTTGTGCCACTGATTCTAGCTCAAATGCTAATTGTGCTTTGGTAATAGGACAGAGAGTCCTGTGTGCATGGGCAGCTCCTGCATCCTGATGGTTTTTGAGGATGTGTAGGAACCAGCCTGAGACACACACAGTAGGAAGGAAACACTGATAACTTTTTGTGCCCGTCCTTTTCCTGAGGAGCTGAGTTGAGAGTATCTGTGCTAACATTCACTGTTTTTCTTTTAGAGATGAAGGGCGAGTGTTCTTCGGTGGGTGTCCGTGAACTGAATGGTCATGATGTTTCGGCACCCAAAGGCAAAATGAGAGCTAAAGCCCCTAGCAGCAGCGTATGCCTGCCTCCAGGCATATCCTGCATGAGCTCCTCAGCAACCCTCTGTGAGCCCACTTGCTCGTGGGTGCCTTTTTTCCTTCCGGGGCTTGTGAATCTGGGTGGCTGAGCTTGACAGAAAGCAGGGCACCCCAGTGCTACCACCAGAGCTACTTTCCTGGTCTCTTTCAAATGGTAGAAGAGAGCAACACCAAAGTAGCGTAACGATCAAAAGTGCTACAGGAAAGGATTGTGGATCCTGATGTATAAGGGGGTAACTTTTCCCCTTAAAAACATTGGTCATCCCAAAGTCATCGATGTATAGCTGAAAGGAACCTTAAAGAAATCATGATTTTCAAATTTTTTGACATGTGAACACCATAACTTTTGCCAGCAAAAGTGCCAGCCCCTGTGTAACCCCAGCGTTCATTTCTCTTGGAAGCAGCCCTCGGATCTTTATGGATCCGCAGACCAGAGTTTGAAAACTATGATTTCAGTCCATCTCTCCTGCCACGGGGCAGGATGAGGTATAGCTGGACCACCCCAGAGGATGTGTAGCTTGCCAGCTCTTGAAACTTCCAGTGGCAGGGATCCACAGTCTTTACTGCTCTCGTTAATAGAAGTTTTTCCTAATAGCTGATTAAGAATTTTTTTACTGCAAATCAAGCCATTTTTCTTCCAAGCCTTGATTGACATGAAGAGCAGATGATCCCCAGCCTTTTTATAAGAATACTTTACGTATGAGAGGAATTATCGTACTTTCCTAACTAGTACAAGACCGTCCTAGTCCCTTCAAAAACATGTTCTAGGCCTCTGATTTTTGCTGTCATTCCCCTCTGTCCTCGGTTTCCCCAAAATACTTTACTCCAGTGGGGGTTTTATCCCGTAACAGGTAAACTGCAGTAATTGTCTCCCGAGTTTTACCCTACAGAATATCTAAAAATACAGCCCAGAGTATTTTTTGAAAGAACATCCCTGGCTGGCTTGCATCTAGTCTATCATCCATTATAATTCCTGGGGGGTTTACTGCTGCTTTACTAGGAGTTCCCGTCCGTATTTGTGCACTCGTTTACACCTTCCAAAGTGTAAGACTTACCACGCATCTTTATTCAAATTTGTTTTGGTTTAACTGGGGCAATTTCTGTACTTCATCAAGATCGTTTTTAGTTTTGATCCTGTCTCCTAGCATGTTTCGTAATCTCCTAGCTTTATTATATGTGGCTTCATGCATGGATTCTTTGTTCCATCAATCTGGGCTGTGGGGGGAAGGGCTCTGTGGTAACTTTAGTCTAAAAAGCAGCGTGAGTATCAGTGGGTGCCCATGAATACCATACCTATCAGATAAAAGTTTTTCTATCGGAACATTTGATTAGCATTTTTTAGAAAGATAGTATTATCATTTAGGGAAAAAAAAAAAAACCCTTCTGCTTCTTTGGTCTTTGTACGACTTGCAATAATTTACCAGTTTTGAGGAAAACATTACTTCGAGCCTTCTCCAGCCTCTCTAGGTGAAATGGAAGAAATAAAAAACCCTTAGAAAAAAGATTTTTTTTTAATTATAATTTTCTAGCCTGAATTGACTGAAGGGGTGATTGGTTCCTTTCCATTTGTCTTTCTTTATACAAAGCCATTGCTGTAATATTTGAAGACTTAAAGGCATCCTGCCCCAGCCTCACTGCAGATCTTTCCTTCTGCCTCTCTACAAGAGGCTTGGCCCTGTCTTAGTTTCCCAATTTTCCTCACATTTCCACCTTGCCTAACAGACAAGCAGTTTCTACACATCCTGATTTTTTATTCTCGAGCCCTGCTGGATCCCTTCCCAAGCCCAGAAATGGTGTCTGTGTTCTCCCTAATGAGTAATTTTCCAATAATCAACTTGAGAGCTGGGAAGAGAAAAGGATGGGGAATGTATGAGGGCAAAGGTTTTGGACATCAGAGGGGAAGGCTGGTACTCTTTTTCAGGACAAATTTCAGCACTGTCCTCTTGTTACTCAAATTTTCCCTGACCTATTCCTTATGCCTCTGTCCTCTAAACACAGCTGGTGTCCAGATGCTCTCCGCTCTGGAAAAAGGCCAGCTTTGTAAAGGCTAAGACTTTTTCCCAGCTAAAACTTTGCCTGCTTGGTCTCAGCTTCTGAGTAGATTTGTGCAAATGTCTGTTAAAGACAGAGGAAGAGGTGTGAAGGCTTAGTAGCGAGTCTCCTGTTGGCACTAATGAGAGTTGCCTGCTGAGTCTCTGCATACTGCTTTCTTTCGACACTGGGTCTTTTTGTACCGAATATCCACGGACCACTGGCTTCATATCACACACTGTGCTAGTCCCTCTGGATGCGTTACAGTGTCAGGTGTATTAGGAGGCTTTCAGTTTTGTTTCAGCGTAGCGTGACGTGCTGCTCCTTGAGGATTAAAAGAAAAAAAAAAATCCTCAGTTTGTACTGGAATAAACTGCTCTGAGGTGGTGTGGTGAGAAGGAAGAAAGGGAGCCTCTTCTTCCCCATACTTATCCAAAATCAGGGGGCGGTTCTGTTACGGCACAGGATGTCAGTAAGTCCGTGGGGACTTGGGTATGCGGGATCCTATTTAAGTGAATTTTTTTTATGTTCAGGAAAAATGCAGGTGTTGTTAAAAGTTCACATACCTGTGTACTCGAGACAAGGCTCAAGCCAGCTTAGAGAAAAGGTCATTCCTAGTACTGTTGTCTGTGGGCCCAGTCCTTGCAGACTGAGAACCTGCAGAGCTTGTTGAAGTCAGCTGCAGATATTTAGAGCTGGTTCTGTCTTAAAAATATTCCTGAAGGACGACATCCTGAAGCCTGCCTTCGCTAAAGCTGCCTCTGAAGTCAGTGGATGATTTTTTTTTGATGAGAGTTACCTAAAGTCAAACAAAGACTTGGAGTTAATTTGCTTGACAAAGCGTCTTTCATGTGAGGACCTGCAAGTGCTTTACAGAAATGTAGGGCTGGATGTTTCTTTCATCCGCTGGCCCAGAGACATGGGCTGACTGAAATATATAAGCATCAAGAAGGCTGCTTAGGATGTGTTCAAATACATAATAAACTAGCTTTCGGAAAGGTAACCTTGAAATAGCACTCAAATAATATCTGAAATCCCATACATGAGAAAAATCACTTATTTTAGATGACTGTGTGTAAGCACAACGTTTTAACTCCTAGCACTTCCGGTCACATCTTCCGTTCATTTATAACAAAATTAATATTTTTTATTCCTTAACCTGTTCATTATTTTTAGACAAGGCAAATTATCTTCAGTGGGTACAAACTGAGGCTGCCAGCCCTGACCAGATTATCATGTTTCAGTAGAATTGTTCCTGGCCTACAATTCATAACTGGACTTGAAAGGCAATAAGATATTGAAGCTGAGTCTTCAGCTGTGAGTTGGTGATCTGTGAGTTCAGTGAGACCACTGCTGAAATATTACAAATGTGGTGCCCAAAGCGGAAGGAAAATCTGCCATTAAGTTCAGTGGTAATATTTCCTGAGTTAAGATCTGACTGGAAACGTACAGAAGCTAATGGGCATTTGTTAACTGATTTCAAGCGGCCTAAGAATGTTTCGCGTGCGTTAGAGGATATTTTCTTTCTTTTTGTTGCCATTAAATTTTTCTTCGAGTCTTCTTGCATGGATCAACCGTGGATGGCC